AAGCGTGGTGGAAATTATATGAAATATTTGGTAGGCAGCCTTGTAATACGGCGTTGCTAGGAACGTACAGGTCTGCTTCAGTCAGAGCTAATGGCTTCATTACACTACTTGAAAAACTGAAAACACATTCAAGAACACAGAAGGAGGAGAAAAAGCAGTTATAACAAACAAAAGAGAGACGTAAAGTAATGCAAAAATAATGCTAATAATAATAATAATGATAAGGGGAGGTCACAGCATAAAATATGCAAGTACCTTACAGGCCCCATGATACAGAAATTCTCATAATACGTATTTAGGAACACATTACTCGTTTAACAGCAATATAAACTAGAAAAAAGTTAGTTCTGTTTCTGTTAAGAAGCTCTATTACCATAGTAATTGTTTCCAAATGCTAAATCCTAATAATAAGCACACCATTTGAACAGTAATGATTTCGCTTCTTCTAATACTGGGGAACGTTTATATTGCGAGGGGATGCTTGTGCAAACTGTAATATGCACTACAGGCACTCTTCGCAAACAATTCAGCCATCAAGACACCGAGCGAAGGCAACTCTCTGCCATTCTTGTGGTGAGGGAAATGATGCCTTGACAGTGGCAAACCGCTGAAAAATAGCACGCAAATTGTTCCTTGGAGTTGCTAATCTTTTTATCCCTTAAACTCTGTTTTCAAGACTGATAAAATTTGCTATGTCTAACCTGTATAATTATATACACATATAAAAAAAGAGATATAAAATAAAAAGTTATGTGTTCTTGATTACAGATCAGTTTACAATCACCAATTATTCTGGATGAACACTTGTGCAATCTCCCATGCCATCCCAAGACAAGGTGACTCATTACTGCTTTCAGGTTAAGGTGAAAAGTTATGAAAGCAGAGAGAGGAATCTGAGTACTAGGGAAAAAAGAAAAATCTCAGTCTGAGGTGGTTTGCGTTTTTCTGGCAAGAAGAAATCAATGCCACTTATCCTACTCCTCCTCAGTAATACTAGAAAGGATGCAACAATTTACTAATTTACCTTGGGCTTTCTTCGAAGAAAGAGTCAAGACACCCACACAACGTAAAGGGCGTTTGGCTGCAGCAGTGGCCAATAATGTATTTCAGTACTGACACGCAGGTAACAGATTATTTTTTCTGCAGTGAGTATTCTCCTATGCAATCTGTGTTTTGATCAAGTTCAGGGAAGGTTCAGACAAACTATTTGTAACTTGTTATGCCAAAGGCTGAAAGCCAGTCTAAAGAAAGTCCCTGTGTGTATCTCCACCTCCCCCAAGCCACAAAGACCAGTGTGATTATGGGTATACTGCACTGCTGCTCATTCAGTTTTATATCACATAAATGATAGATGAAAGCATCAGATGCTGTCTATAGTCGGTTAACAGAATCCTATTACACAGTAAAAATTACAATGCTTTCGGTTAAGAGCTGGACTGTGAAAAATGACAAACGTTAACAGAGCAGCACAAGCCCAAAAGGACTTGGAGACCTCTGTAATACAAATAACGCTCTGAGGTTGTAGAGACTGAATCCCTAATGGTTACATGAATTCCCTGCTTGGACCCTCTATTGCCTTAATGCTTGCTTCTGGTTTTCTCTAGTTCAGTTTTGTGTTACTAAAGACTGCCATCAGCACAGCTGTTACATTAGGGCCTACAGGGTACCTGCACTTGCTTTAGTTCCTATGTGGAGTCACCAACGCTGTATTAAAATAATTACACAAATACCATCTTCTAAGTAAAGTAAAAGCACATTTACTGCTAAGAAGAATCAGACACATCCAGTTCCTGGTCCCAGAGCAGGAGCAAAAGACAGGCTGAAAGGGAACAACTCCTCCAGAGCCATGCAGAAGCAGCCTGTCTATCCCTGAACACAGGCTCTGGTTTGGCAGATGGTCTGGCAAAAATCGTGAGTTTCAGAACCCCTTCAATTCCCGGTGCAGACATCTTCATTGGTCAGCAAACCATTACAAATGACTCCAACGAAACAGTGAACGTGCTCATTAGGAGTTACCTACTTAGCTATGCCCTAAAGCAGCAGCTCAGACCGTGGTGAAGATTGCAGAGGAATAAAAGCCTGGACTGGAATCGGGCAATACGCTGCGCGTGAGGCTCTAGACAGCGACGTAACACATGTCATTTACACCATCATGAATTCAAGACCTAGGGCTGGATTCAGTGCCCTGTAAACACCCCCACTGAGCTGCTGGACAGAAATCGGTTCCCTCAGCCACCTTACCAGGATGTGCTGACCTTGGCCCTGTACAAGGCATACACCACCTCTATCACAGAATCACAGAACAGTTTGGGTTGGAAGGGACCTTTAAAGGCCATCTGGTCCGACACCCCCACACACACTGAGCAGGGGCATCTTCAGCTATATCAAGGTTGCTCAGGCCCCGCTACAATGTCTGCCCCTATCTTTCCTGTAGGCCCCTTTCAGCACTGGGAGGCTGCAGTAAGGTCTCCCCGGAGCCTTCTCTCCTCCAGGCTGAACACCCCCAGCTCTCTCAGCGCGTCCCTGAAGGGAACTTCAGTGCCTTGCCCGCTCTGTGTAGATCAGGACTTTTCACCCCCAAAGGCACACCAGCTCTCCCCCTTCAGAACAAGGGGAAACATGAATCTTCTCCATTAAGAACAAAGCCAAACTGCATTGCAATGCACTTTATTACTTCTGTATTTCCTTTCACAACCAAGGCCTGCTCTTCTCCTTGTTCTCACTTGGCTTCCAAGACTCTCTACCCCTCTCCTGCTGCCCTGTCTCCTGACTTGACCGTTCGAGGCGTCCCCCTGTGGATCCTTCTCATCTCACACAGGGGTAGCACAAGGCTCTGATAGCAGTCTCCACCTCCACGCCCCCTTAAATTTTCTGTCCGCAAAGTTCATCTATGAGCTCAAATGAAACCATTCTATTTCAGACATCTCGTGTGACCAAGGTTTTAAATTTCTACCATGTGACATTAAGTGACATCTGTCCAACAAAATGAAACATTAAAAACGTTTTTTCCACAAGGCCTTCCCCATTCTCCCAACTGCTACTCAAAGACTACTGTTCCACCTGTCACTCCAGGCTGGAACCTAAGCATGATCTTAATCTCAACAATATATATAATACTTAATTATGTCCACTGATCTGTTGTAAAAGTCAGCCTGCCACCAAGTATGACACTTAGAAAATAAATGGAAGAAATTATTTTCTCATTTAAAATACAAGCTGCTTGTCCTCACTTTCAGGCCCTGTTCTGTCCCCAGCCTAAGACCTTTTACTGCAGAAATTGCTACTCCTGGCTCCAGCCCAGTATTCCAGCCTCTCACGTACTGCCTTTCCAAACAAGTATCATCAATGCTCCCTTTTTGTTGCTCATGTGTGGGAAGACTTTCCAGGAAAGCAAGAAACCTGTTTTTTGATCCTACTAACCCCCTTCTGAAGTTCCCTATTCCCACATCACCTCCTTTGACAGTACACTACCTGCTGTTACACTAAGGCCACCAAGTTGAACTGTATTGCTTCTCTGTACCCCGTCATTAAAGAATACAATACAAATGCACACTCGCACAGCTGGGTCAGCCCTATGATGCAAACTACAGCTCTTCTCTGAATACAGCCCTATTTGAAAACAAGTACCTTTAAAAAACCCAACAAAAATCCCCAAACCCAAACACTTAAACTCTTTCAAAATTTCACTGTTCTGGGAAAGAGGTTCTTTTTAAAAAAAAAACAACCCAGGTTTGAGCAACTTCCTCCTTGAAAGTAAAACATCAAAGGCTCAGGGAATGACGTCAAAAGCTACGTTTTCTTTGACTGACTTGGAAACTGCTGGGGAAGAGCGCAGACTATTAGGAAACAGGTAACCTGCATCTCAGTCTGAGAAATTTTGCAGAGACGGAGAGCTTATTGTAGAAATCGTCTTATGTTGTCATCAAAGCTAATAATCAGAGACATTTACTGTCCCTAAAATAATTCTGAGCTCAGTAGAGACTGGTAAACAGAATTACTCAAAATCATGTGGCAGTTCATAGCATCTGCAGATACCCAGTAAGCTGAACCCGAGACTGATTCATATATGCTAAATACTTTCCGCAGACTTACATTTAAAATGAAGTTGCCAGATATGAAGTTCACATTTGTGAGCTATGCTTTTGTTCCCGCTACAATTTTTGCTTCGAAGCTAAAATACAAGTAATTAAACTCTCTTCTCTCCCACAGCTCATGGCTCTCCACTGACAAAGTCAACAAAAATGAAGCAACTGCTGCGAAGGACTCAACTGACTGGCTCCAGAACTGCACCTTTGTAAATGCAAGGAAGCATGATTTAGAGCATCTAAAATATCCTCTCCTCTTGGACATGAGTACATCAACCAAATTAAGATGGGTAAGTGCTAATGTTTCAGCTACAAATGCTTTTCATTTGTGGATCATTACCAAACAGAGTATCATTATCTCCATATTACTGGTGAGATAACTGAAACCCGGAGGTGACGCTGTAACTCACTGCATAAGACCATTAAACAAGCCTGTTTCTTTGCAGCTCTGTATTTGCAAGCAGCACGATCTGAAATATAGGATGTGGTGTGCCACATCAGCACTCAATATACCCGAATGGTTCATAAAATTACAATTTATGAGAGCTTTAACTGAAACGTGATGGTGTCATTTTTGCAAACAATTCCATTAGGTACTTATTTCAACCTTTCAGGGATTCTAAAGGACTAAACATCTAGATATATGTCAGGCAGTCTTGTACTTCATAAATCTGCGATCCAAGATTTAACTATGTAATTGCATATAGCAAAGTAATTATAGCTGTTATAAAGTGTATCTTTAACCGAATGAGTTGCTGTCAGAAAAAGGCAGTAGCTTCCTACAAGTGAGAAAGCAGGAAGGCAGACATACTGCTAGCATGCTCTGGTGTTTCAGCATGACACTTGTAAGGGCTGATGAAGTATTTTGTGACAAATAGGAGAGGATGCTATTGACTGACAAGTTAGTCCTCTTACCTTTACTCTCACTGTGACAGTAGCAAGACCAGGAGGCATAGTGCCCTTACTATCAAAGGCTTCCACAAGAAAGGTGAAGGTTGCTTCTGTGTCAGAGAATGATTCATAATCCAAGGACTTCAGAAGCGATAACTCGCCTGTATACTTGTTCAGTGCAAAATACTGTAGCGCTTCCTGTGTCCGTATTCGATAGTTAACATCAGAACCAAGATCAACATCCTTCGCCTAGAACACGCCATACAGGGGGGAAAAAAAAATTACTTCAAACAAAAACCATTTTCACAAAAAATCCCTACTAAAGAACATAAAAAAGCAAACTACTGCAAAAAACTTTAGTTTCATTATATTATTCTTATAGTATTGGATGTACTTAATACTATTGCACAAACACGAGGAAACAAATCCGCTTAAGGTTATAAAAACCCAAAGATACCTGCCACAGGAGACAAGCACAGTATTCTGGGCAAAAGTCACTGGAAGCTCAGCCTGTTCTTGTTCGCTTCCTGGGCAGCTGCTCTGGGCCACTGCCAAGGAGAGGATGCTGAGCTAAGCATATGTTTGATCTCACCCCCGTATGGCAGCACGGATGTTTTTGTTTCATCCCAGTATTTAGACAAAGAATATTAATTTCCCTCAGGACAAGGAGTATTATGAGATTGCTTTAGCTGTAATTTGACATCAGATTTATCCGCAATCAGGTTCAGAGAAAACCATTCTTGCTGAAACTGTCTCAGGACAGATTCTAGTTATTAAAGGATGCTGACCAAAACTTCAGGAGGATACACAGACTGCTTGTGCGAAGCGACTCTCAGCTGTCTTTAGAGTTCTAGCTCGTCCTCGAACAATTAACTCTCACTTGTCTGAGTAACTTTTATAGTCAGTGGACAGAAAACAACACCTACAGGTGTTCACTTCACTTTACTCCAGCTATCGTAGATGATGATCTTGGTACTGGATGATTTGCTTCTGGAAGCAACTATTTATCTCCATTAACTATAATGTGAGGTTAGTCATCTAGGTTTGACTCAAAAGTCTGAATCAGTTGACATAAAGCTCTCTTGCTACTAATGTAAACAGGTAGAAGCAAGATGATGAGCTTTCAAGAACAAATCAAAAGCACTCTAAGTGTGTAAAACAATATCCCAAGAAATTACAACAGCAGCGTGGGTTTTGTCGTTTCTTTGGTTTTTTTTAATAGCTCTTATTTCTAAAGGAACCTCAGCATCGAGGTATTTTTATGTACCTGTCATGCATTTTTCAGTCTGTTCAGTGTCATAACTTCCTCCACACCAGTTTGCAATCTTTTACTGCCATCTCACTGACAAGTTCATGAAGAGCATGCTTAGTATTGCGGAACATTTACAAAACACTGTCTTCACTCCATAATGCTTTCTTACCTCTATTTGCAGGAAGACAGTCCCTGGTGGTAGATTTTCTGGCACGCAGACAGTGTAGGAAGCATTAGTAAAAACAGGGCTGTTGTCATCAATATCCAGCACCTTGATCGCTAAAGTTAATGTTGAATGGCGGGGGTCCACAGCTCCGTCTGTTGCTTCAACAATAAGTTCGTAATAGTCCCGTACTTCTCTGTTCAGTTTAACTGCTGTATAAATGCTACCGTTTGACGTGATTCGGAAAAGATTGTTGAAGTTTGCCAAACTGTAATGAACTTGACCATTAACACCAGCGTCTGGGTCTGTAGCCTAAAGAAACAGAAAAAAGAATGATGTTTTAATGCACATTTTAAATACAAGGCGTAACAAGGTAAGCTAGGGTGCTATTCTACAGGGCTTGTGTGGCTACTCAGCATTTCTTGCTTACAGCAGCTTGCCTCTCTCTGGTATTTTGCTGAAGACAAAATATCACACAGAAACAATTCTCTTAATTTGCAGTGACAGAAGCTAGGTTTACTGGATCCCAACTGGATTTTGAGAGAAAATACGCATTTACTTGTTCAGCCTTGGACAACGGGGCATGTAAGCAGAAGGCAAACTAGATGCTTTTAAAGTCAACCCCTCAGGTACTTCTAATGCTGAAGTATCTTCAGCGTTAGGTGGTGTCTGAGGGGAATTTTTATTTTACACTGTGTCGTGGTTAGCCCCAGCTGGCAACTAAGCACTCCGCAGCCGCTCACTCACTCCCCCTCCCGCAGTGGGACGGGGGAGAGAATTAGAAAAAAAAAACCTCGTGGGTTGTGATAGACACAGTTTCACAGGACAGAAAGAGAGAAAGAAACAAGAATAATCACAACAATGGAATGTACAAGAACAAGTGATGCCCAATACAGTGATTGCTCACCGCCCCGCGATTGACAGCCCGTCCCCGAGCAGCGATTCCCGCCCCCCGGCCAACTCCAGTTGATGTGCTGGGCATGACGGCGGATGGTAGGGAATATCTCTTTGGCCAGTCTGGGTCAGCTGTCCCGGCTGTGTCCCCTCCCAGCTCCCCGTGCACCCCCAGCCTACTCGCTGGCAGGCCAGCACAAGAAGCTGGACTGTCCTTGACTGCTCAGCAACAACCCAAAACATCAGCACATTATCAACAGTTTCTCATCCCAAATCCAAAACACAGTCTTGCACTGGCTTCTGCGAAGAAAACCAGCTCTATCCTGGCTGAAACCAGGACGCACTGTTTGATTTAGGTGTTTCATTGCTGCTCAAATCCTTACAGAGTACATGCTTAGATGAAAGACAGATGCAGTCAGCAAATAGCTAGAATGGAGACATTAGTCAGAAATTTTCATTTCACTTAACATGTTTGTCACATTCAGAGATTTTTTCATCATTTCTCTCTGAAAAACTACTTAACTTTCTATAGTTTGTTTATCGTGCTCTTCAAAACCAAATGTTATCACATTTCATCCTTATTCTGCACTCACAAGAGGCAGATAATTGCAATAGAAAACTGTTGAGATGTTGTTCAGTTCGTATCGTTGTTCTCACAAACTAAACTAAATCTTAAATTTCGGTACCAGCCAAATCATTTCTACTATTACGTAACTGCCCTTATAGGGATGGACAAACCTCATATGTTTTCCCTAGAGCTACCAGGTCCTCAACACAGTCTGAATGCTGACCTCTTATTCTTTCTCCTCTTAATTAAACTATGGCTTTACAAACAACGTTATGTACATTAAACAAAGGGCATTCTGTAAACAAGGTATTTTCATTTATTTGACTTTATAAATGAGGCTACAGGCATCTGGGAAGATCGTAAGAGATTTTCATGTTTTGTCATCAGAACAATTGTCAGGAAGTTTCCATGAATGTTTAATTCCAGTGAAGGTATTCATTGTAAGGCTTTGTAATGAAACCATTTATCTTCCTAGAAATCAATTAAAAGTTAATTAAAATTGTTAATAAGAAAAATTTCACTGTGCTTTTCCCTGCGCTACAGCAATGCGCTAAGCAGTAATGGCTACAACTTCATAATGACCTGGTATGTCTATGGATAACAAATCCTTTTCATCGACATCTTTCAATGTATGGTTGATTTCCTTGGTTTACAATCAATTCTATTTCCTCCATAGTAGTAACTGATTTGGGGGAGAAGGACCCAAATGACATACTGGAAAACCATCAGAAAGCTACTCAAGGAGAAACGTTTCAAGTATACACTAACAGACACTTAGCCCTACTCAAGAAAAGCAAAGTATAGGGAATGCAGAGTAAGTTGCAGAGCTTCTGGGTAAGACACTAACAGCAAGATTCACCTTCGTAAGACTTAATCTCCAACATGTGCATGAGGTCAGTCCTCATACTTAGCCTCTAATTTAAGCCAAAGCCATATTATAGCAATTAAACTGATACTAAACACCCAGACTTAAAAACCAAACACCGCCGCCCCACTCTCTAAGAGTAAGCTGAAATACTACTATCCTTGGAAACTACGAGAATAAACCAGGCAACACTTCTATTTAAGATTAATTTGGAAGTACATTTTTGAATAGACAAACTTATTTTTTAGGAAAGTAAATTAAAATTACTTTCAAATATATGGCAGGCTTTGCAATTTGGTTCCTAAGAACATGACTATGTATGCTGTAAACTCATTTGTGTACATCCTTGGGCATAAACATCTTTTCCACATTCTGCAGGACTGATTTGTTTACGCACTGAGTAGCAAGCAAATCATCACTATTAAATCCAATTAAACTAATTGTTATAGTACCACCGTAACCCTGGTGAGAAGTCAGCCAGAGACATGTGAAGACAAACATTAGCTCTGTGCATTTTTACATATCTTAGTCCTGTGCTTCCACAGCACAGAGCAAATTCAAATTTCAGAAGAATGCTCTGACTGAATCCTCAAACAGAAGTTCGCTGCACTTTGTCCACTAAAATTTCTATCATATGGACTCTCTGATTATCTATTAGATTAAAAAAAGTCAGCTTTTCTCCAAGCTTCCTGCTTTATCTGTGGTGTTACACCAGCGACGACTACTGCCTATTTACAAAGCCACCATCCCATTGCTTGGGCAGCGCTTTGTGTTCCCCATCTTTAGAATCACAGAATCATTAAGGCTGGAAAA